TAAATTAACTGATTGCTCCAAGCTTTTTGAGGAGGTGGTAATGGAGAAACTATCTTTTACCCTAAAAATTATCGTGAATCCTCGTCAGCATGGTTTTGTCGGTGGTCGTTCTACCGTAACGAACCTCGCTGTTTTTTCTGAATTTTGTATATCTGCGTTCAGAAATGGGTCCCAAGTGGACAGCCGATATACAGATTTCTCCAAGGCGTTTGATACGGTACCACATTCAATTTTGCTTCGTAAATTAAGAAGCATTAGTTTCCATTCGGTTTTCTTAAATTGGTTAAAGTCATATCTTTCAAATAGAACCCTGTTTGTTGAAATTGAAAACTGCAGGTCTTCTCAATTTGCCGCTACTTCGGGGGTGCCCCAAGGCAGTGTACTTGGTCCGCTGTTGTTCGTCCTGTTTATTAACGATATCGGGTCCTGTTTCAGTAACTCTGATTACTTGCTGTATGCCGATGATCTGAAACTGTTTCGTAAAATCAATTGTGTCTCCGATTCGCGGCTACTTCAGGAAGATCTGTTTAATCTCCGAGTATGGTGCCAAAAAAATATGTTATCCCTCAATATAAAGAAATGCTTCCATATGACCCTCACTAAAACATCTAAAATGTTTCTAACTATTATATTTCAAATGTACATACAACTCGCTTCAGTTAATGACTTTGTTGATCTTGGTGTCGTTTTTGACTCTAGGCTCACCTTTGTTAATCACATATGCCATATTCTTCCGAAGGCTTACAGGAACCTAGCTTTTCTGCGAAGGCATTAGCTCTCTTGTTCGGTGATTTTAAGGATCCCTATACAAGGAAAACTCTCTTTAACTCTCTTGTTCGTTCAAAGTTTGAATATGCCTCGGTTATCTGGAGCCCTATATATAATTGCCATGCACTTCGCATCGAACGTGCCCTTCAGCCGCATCGATTCTCTGACCCTCTTCCGCCCTATATAACTCGTTGCAAGCTTATAGATTTAAACTCTCTTGAGTGTAGAAGACATGTCCATTCCCTTATGTTTGTTTACGACTTGATTTCTGGCGTCATTGATTGTCCGGAATTACTTGTGCATATCGGTTTCAATGTCCCGAGCAGAATATTGCGGTTTGCCCCGCAGTTTTATGTTATCCCTGCTAAAGCTAATTATTGGGCTCAATTCCCGATTTGGAGGGCTCTTAACGAACTTAATGCAATTTCAAAAAATTTAAATATTGAATTTTCTATTAGTAGGCAGTCTTTCAGAAGTTTAATGGAATCTGTGTACTCCTAGTGTAGTTCTTAATTTTTTACCTATTAATTTTATTCTAGTGTGTAAGATTCTTTGTAATCATAGACTCAATAAACACTGAATTGAATTAAATTGCACAGAATAGTTTGCATTGGCATAACAGGAGCTATGAAGACTTGCCCGGCCGATGCACCAGCGCCCTGGTTGGAATACCTCCCTTTCCTATTTTAATAGAAAAGGAGGCTACCACAGCGGCACTGAGAATCCTGAACACATCCGACCTGAAAATTCGAAATATGATGGGCCACATGAAGGTAATGAAATTCGTTAATGACCCCATACTACAAATGCGCGATGCAATGGTTCCAAAACTATAAATCTCTACGAAATTTGAGGTACACATTGCAGATCGAGCTCTCTGGAATACAGGGAACCCATACACCTAACCTAATGGGGAGGTTTGGTACACTGATGGATCTAAGCTTGAAAATGGTAAAACTGGGGCTTGCATTTTTGGGCCGAACTTTAAAAAATCGATACCAATGGGTAGCTACCCCACCATCTTTCAGGCCGAGATTCATGCAATAGAAATTTGTGGCAGAGAATGTCTTAGAAGGGGAACGTCATCGAAATATATCTGCATTATGTCGGACAGTCAGGCAGCCCTTCTGGCCCTGAAGTCCCACAAAATAAGTTCTCAGCTAGTATATGATTGCCGCAATGTCCTAAATGCTCTTAGTGACAAGAATACAATTTTACTAGGATGGGTACCAGGGCATGAGGGACATGATGGCAATGAGGAGGCTGACTGCCTAGCGAAACAGGGAGCTGCCGCAGTATTTTATGGTCCGGAACCCTTTTGTGGGCTCACCAAAGCACATATAAAGGGGACCAAAGAAAAACTGGGTAGACAAAATGTTCAACAGGCATTGGATGGAATGTCCAGGGCAAAGACAAGCCAAACGATTTATCAGTCCTTCAAACGAAGTTTCAAAGAAACTAATCAATTTAAGCAGAGAGGACCTCAAAACTCTCACTGGGTACTACAAGGGACACTGTTCTCTTCGTTACCACCTCAGTAAAATCAATCTTTCAGAAACAAACGTCTGTCGCTTCTATGAGCTGGAGGAAGAAACGCCAGAACACATTATCTGTGAATGTGAAGCTCTCGTTAGGCGCAGTTTAGCCCACTTTGGTGGCGCTACCCTTAATCCATTTGAAATTTGAAAGAAAACGCCATTGGAGGCGCTAGGCTACATTAAGAGCCTTTCCATATAGGCCGGGGCCACGCACAATAGACCACTGAAGAACACTGCTTCACCTACGGCAGTTAATATGGTAGAATTAGAGCGAGAAGTTGCCAACCGATAACACCTTGTATTATTGCATCATGAGCCACAATGATGTTGTAGTAAGCAAATTGAATGGGCGCGTTCATAAGACGTAGCTGTTTAGCTCAACTCCTACGAAACTGCTGGCAACTGTTGAACACAATAATGACGTCTTAGAAACGGCTTGATAAATATGCTGTCAAATGAAGAGCTGATGAATGTAAGCAAATAAAATTGCAATAAATATCCAATTCAACGCAATATTTCAGTTACATTATCACATTAGTAATATAAAATTCGACAAACTCGTTTGCAGCTGCCACCTAACGAAGCGGCGATACATTTAATATAAACGGCGAAAGTCGTTTCGATCAGCTGTTTAGGCTAACCACAACCAGTTGAGTTCAGGTAGCGAAACAATTTTGCGATGGAAAAAAAGGCGGAAAGTTGGCGACTGTTGAGCTGAGCGGAGCTACTCAACTGCGCGTTTCTAAGACAAACAGTCAACGGTTAGACAGCAGCTACGTCTTATAAACGCGCCCAACACTCAGAGAAGGAATCACGTTTTTCGTACTCGACCTTAGCATTCCCAAACTTAAAATCGGACTAAGATTATTGATGGCACGATTAATCGAATAATCTACTATAATCGGATATTTTCATTAGGTTAACGATTTAATTGTATCGAAAGTTTCCTTTCGATTAATCGAGCGATTAACCGATTAATTTGCAAAATAATCGAAAGAAACCATCCAAAATTTACTACTTTACTCACACAATAATGTATGAATCAAAATTACGTACACAAATTTGGCACTCTAACCACTCAATAATAATAGCAACAATAAAAGTGTCCATTCTACTCTAATTTTACTAGTTGGGAGACTTTTTACATTCTCGTATTTTGCAAATTTTTAAAACGATATTTTTGCAAAAAACCGCCACACAAGTTTAACCAAAGTAACAACTAAAAAATCGTAAATCAACGCTTTTTTTTTGTATGGAAAATTAGCAACACCTTCAACAAAACAAAAATTCCAAAAATCAACGGTAAGTGCCAGATATTAATCTTGCAATTTTTAACCGACTTCCAAAGAAGGAGTAGGTTATCAGTTCGTCGGAATATTTTTTTTTTATGTATGTTACCGCATAACTTTGGACCACGTTGAGAACTGAAGTCGTTTTTTTTGCTAAAAATTCCTTGTTTATGTAAGAATTTAATGGGCTAAAAACTGAATACTATGTAACGGATGGTATACTACATCTTTTAATGTAATGCTTGAATTCGTTTTTAGTTTTTATGATTGTTTGAGCACTGAATTCATAGCGCAAGTTTCCACAATTTAATAAGAAAGTTACCCTTAAATAAAATAGTCAGTTTTTATAACTTACATATATAAACCGGTTTTATTAGTATTCGATTTTAATCGAAACAACCAATAAATCGGTTAATTTATTACGATTAATTGCAATTATAAATCGAATGCTTTCGGTTAAACAATTAACCGATTCATCGATTATTGAATTTTTGAGTACTACATACTGGAATTAAGATCAAGCAAACTTAAAAAATTAAGTATAATTATTTTTTTACGCGTCTCTTTGTGAAAATTTTGTTCATATGGGCAAATCTAAAAAATAGGTATACTCTCAAAAAAATTTTAATTTTTAAATTTGTGAGCACACCTATGTTTTATATATCATTTTATTCGTACTCTCTTAATGAATCGATTAACAAAGTGTAATTTACTTTTCATCAAGTGCTTCAAAAGTTAGACGAGGAATAAATAGCGCGTTCATGAAAAGTTTTTTGAGATAGGGCGTTTTCGAACTGGCTGCCGAGATAGGTCGATCTTCCACTCAGCAGTCGATATATCGTACGAACCAATTTAACAATCACAGAATGAGATACGTCAATGCAAAGCTAATAAAATTCTCCATAAACCATATATACTTCACTTTCCGATAGGACTGATAGTTTCTGACAAATAAAGTAACCATTAGTTTTTTTTATTTTTTAATAAAAAAAAATGTAACAAAATCAAATTTTAACAGAAGAAAAATACAAAAAAAAACAGGATCTGTGCCAAATTTTTGCATTTGTGCTAAAGCCTGTTCTGTTGGGAAAGCGAGGGATAAATAAAGAAGAATGAGTGATCAAATGAAAATACGCAAAGACTTTTTGTATGAAATATGAGCAGAAATGCTCATACTCAATACTCAAGTGTACGTGGCGTATGAGTAACTGAGTATGAGTAGAAATAGTGGCATCCATTGAACATTTTTGCTGTAAGCCAGTCTAATCGGTAATCGAGTAATAGATTTTTATCTACTACTAGTCTACAATCGCAATAGGGGTTAGCATTTCACAAACTAATAAATGTTTACAATATGAGTAGTATGCAAATTTAGTAATACTGATTTATTGATAATTTGACTTACCTCCAGCGGCAAATACTTTTGGGTTTGATGTCCCGAAAGAGCCATTGGTGGACTTAATGTTTCCACGAGCATCAAGTTCAAGACCGATTTCAGTCGGTAACGATTTTTCCGGACCCAAAAATCCCATTGCCAACAAAACTAAATCAGCGGGGTAGTATTTTTCACTGCCTTTTACTTCCGACATAGACCATTGTCCATTTGGTTGTTTATTCCATTCTACTTGAATTGTCTTTAATGCTGTTACGGTACCATTTTCTTCTATTAATTCTTTTGTTGTTGTGCAGTATTGGCGAGGATCATTGCCAAATTTTACTCGAACTTCTTCATGCCCATAGTCAACTCTATCCAATAAACAAATATATGCAAAAATAATATATTATAATAATAATATATTAATAGGTAATATTTATTTCATACCTGAACACTTTAGGCCATTGGGGCCATGGGTTGTCATTGCCACGATTCTTAGGAGGCTCGGGCAATATTTCGAAGGTGGTAATACTTTTTGCACCTTGCCGCAAAGCTGTGGCCATGCAATCGCAACCAGTATCTCCACCACCAATTATGATTACATGCTTGTCTTTAGCGCATATGATGTCATTCTTGCCACCAAGTTGCTTTTTCTGTTGAGATTCCAGAAACTCCATGGCAAAGTGTATACCATTTAAATCTCTGTTGTTTAAATTTAAATCACGTGGCGAGGTGGATCCAGTGGTTAGTAGTAATGCATCATACCTAAGGAGTTAAATTAACTGTAAAATCAAGATTTTCATTAAAATGTATATGAATGCTCTTACTGTTCCAGTAACACCGATGCTTTTATATCTCTTCCGACATAAGCGTTTATGCGAAACTCTATTCCTTCATCAGCCATAAGAGCAATTCGACGCTTAACAACAGCTTTTGATAATTTCATAGTTGGGATGCCATATTGCAATAAGCCACCAGGTCTATCATTGCGTTCAAACACCGTAACGAAATGGCCTGCTCGATTCAACTGACTTGCAGCCGCTAGACCAGAAGGTCCAGAGCCAACAATAGCCACTCGTTTTCCAGTGCGTAACTTTGGTATTTCCGGCTTCATCCACCCCTGTTCAAATGCATGATCAATAATTGCACATTCAATGTTTTTGATTGTAACTGGCAGTTCCGATATGCCTAGAACACATGCTCCTTCGCAAGGTGCTGGACAAACCCTACCAGTAAACTCTGGAAAGTTATTCGTTTGTAAAAGTTGTCGCAAAGCCTCTTGCCAGTCGTTATTAAAAACCAGATCATTCCACTTAGGAATGATGTTACCCAAAGGACATCCATGTGTATTTGACTGACAAAACGGTACTCCACATTCCATACAGCGAGCAGCTTGTGTTTTCAAATGTTTGCGAATATATTGAAAATTATAAACTTCATCCCAGTCTTCTTGTCTTTCACTAGCCTTACGATATATATTTAAATCTCTTTTATACTTAATAAAACCTCGAATCTTATCCAATGGCTGCTCTGAAGAATTATTCTTTAAAGTTTCTTCAATATCTTTAATGGCTGGTTCTTTTTGTTTTTCCTTTACTTTTGTAATTTCATTCACGCTTTCACTTTCTTCAGAGTATCCCTGTTTTATTTCCAAATTTTTTAATACCTTTTGATATTCATATGGAAAAACCTTTACAAATTTAGGCTGGCTCTCATTCCAATTCAAGCACACTTCTTTAGCGATTTGAGAATTAGTCTTCCTTACAAAATCATTTAGTAAACTCTTTACTAATTGTACATCCGACTCGTGCTCCAACGGGAACAGAGAAACGGATTCAAGATTAACTTTATTTTTGAAGGACCCATCAGTATCGTATATGTACGCTATGCCGCCAGACATCCCCGCAGCGAAATTCCGACCCGTTAAACCAAGAATTACAACAATACCTCCCGTCATGTACTCACATCCATGGTCACCAACGCCCTTAAATATGTACCATATGTATACTAAAGAAGATTAATTCCATAAAAAAATTAAATGATACCTCTACAACCGCAGTAGCGCCTGAATTCCTTACGCAAAATCGTTCAGCTGCTATTCCTCTGAAGTAAGCAGTGCCTTTAGTTGCACCATATAGACAAACGTTCCCCACTATCACGTTTAAGTGAGACTCAAAAGTGGAATTATCAGGGGGCATAATAACGACACTGCCCCCACATAGACCTTTACCAACATAATCATTAGCATCTCCTTTTAATGTAACGTTTACGCCACTAGACAAAAATGCGCAGAAACTTTGGCCGGCTGAACCTTCCAAAAATATATCAATGCTTTTCTCACGAGGTAGACCGTTCTCACCATATTTGCTGCAATTATATAAAACAAAAGAACAAATTTAAAAACCTTGATACATGTACAAAACACTTCAAAATGCTCTACTGGTGGAAAGTAGAACACATAAATAAAGGTCTTAATTCGGGAGAGTCTATTTCAGATCTCCATTTTTTGTACATACTTTTATTTTTTCATCCAACTTCATTGTGGCATAGAAGGAATGATATTGAATCTTACCCAGTGTATGACTCGATTCATGTCTACTATGCAAAATATGATTCAAGATCTCATATAATTATAGACCTTATGGAATGCTAACGGTGAAAACCAGCGTAGATTAGAACTCAGTCAATTTCTCACTGAATATAACACAGATATTATGTTACTGTCCGAGACACATTTAACAAATAAATATAATTTCTCCATACCTGGGTACAAATTCTATGCCACAAATCACACAGATCGTAAAGCTCATGGAGGCACAGCGATGTTGATTAGAAATCGCCTAAAGCACAATATTCTAGACTCAAAAAGAAATTAATAGAGGGGGAATAGTTTTAGAATGTAAAAATAAAGATACTTGCGAAAAAGTGCATCAAAAAATAAGAGATAGTATTGGAACGGAGTTCCAGGCCCAGAAAGCTAAAGGAAAAGAGGAAATAAAAAAGATACTGAAAATAGTTGGGTTAACCGAAAAAATAAATAATGATCGCATAATAGAATGTCTAACTAAGCAAAATGATGAGTTCTTGGGAAAGGAGTTGAAAGTACTGAAAGTATACGAAAATAGAACGCGAAGAGAAGAAAGCTGCCACATTCTAGTTGAAACAGATGCTTTAACCTATGAAAGTGTCTTGAAACGTAAAAAAGTAAATATCGAATGGGACACTTGCATGGTATTTGAGCATCTAAATATTATGAGATGCTTTAAATGTTTGGGTTATAAGCACAAGTCTAGTGATTGTACAAATAAAAAGGCATGTAGTAGATGTGCTGGAAATCACGATGTTAAGGATTGCGGCTCTGATATAATAAGGTGTGTAAATTGTTGTGAACTTGTTCAGAAAAAAGTAATAGATGTTAATGTAAATCACTCAGCATTCAGTTTGGATTGCCCCGCATACCAAAAATACGTTCAAGTCAAAAGCAAAACTAAAGTTTAGCAACGAAGTATTCATGAATTGAATATCATTTATTTAAACATAAACAGTATTACAGCTAATAAGTGTGAACTTGAGAAACTAATAGAAATTTGTAAGCCCCATTTGGTGCTATGTTCAGAAACCTGTTTGACCGAAGACATTACAAACCACGAAATACAGGTAGAAACCTACACCCTAATTAGATGCAACTCGAATAGTAGACACACAGGCGGTGTTTTAATTTACGTCCATCACTCAATTAAATATGAAACTCTCGTTAATTACTCGAGGGATAAAAATATTTGGTGTCTTCTTTTAAAAATTGGAAATGTTACCCCGAAATACCAAATAGGGGTAATATATCACTCGCCAAATTCTAGCGATGCTGACTTTATCAGCGACCTCAGTGAAATTTTAAACAATACTTGCCTAGATGATAATACTGTATTTATTGGAGACTTCAATATAAATCAATATAAAGCTACAACGTACAGTAAAAAATTGATAGAGTTATTTCAGTCCTTCTCAATGGTTCAGAAAATTAATTTTTATACTAGGAAATCGGGAGAGGTCGAGGTCGAAACTATGATTGATTTATTATTTACCAATAGCAAAAACATTTCGTGTCAAAGAATGGATATGCATCGGATTTATGTCAAGATCGAGTTGGAGAAAATATATAAAATGAGAGCAAACAAATTTATTATATCCTGGGAAAATTACACAAGTGATAATCTTCTTCACCAACTGAGGCAATACAATTACAGGGATTTTTCGAAATTAAGCATCGATGATAAATCGAAATTTTTAACTAATGTCTTGTCGCATTCAATGGGCATTCTAACATACACTAAAGAAATAAGGCTCAAGCTCATGAACAAGTGGTATGATGCTGAATTAGCAAACCTTAATAAACAAAAGTATAATCTTTACAGGATAGCATTAGAAACAGGGGCCTGGAGTGACTATAATACAACAAACGTAGATACAAGAGGAGGGTAAAGGTTAAAAAGGTTAAATACTTGGAGCATAAAATAACAGTTAATATTGGAGATAGCAAATCAATGTGGAAGCATCTAAAAAATTGCATAAGTATGTCAAAGGAAATAAACGCCATTAATAAAGTGTTAATTCACAACAACTTGTACACAACGGAAAATGAGATTGCACAGTCACTAAATAACTACTTTATTGACAGCATTATTGAAATTACCTCAAATATAGAACCTGGTAAAAAAGAATCCCTTACGACTCCAAATTGCACACATAACTTTAAATTTATAGAAATCGAAACCGATGAAGTGCTTGAAATTGTCAGTGGTTTTAAAAATAAAATTGGAGGAAAAAAACTATTATCTGAGGGAGTCATAAAAGACTCTATAACATATACAGGGTACTTTTACACGCAGTTAATTAATGAAAGCCTAAAATATGGTGTTGTTCCTGATCACTGGAAAACATCTATTGTTGTGCCAATTGAGAAAGTCAAGAACACAATCAGAGCCGACGAGATGAGACCAATTAATACGTTGCCTAGTGATGAAAAAAATTCTTGAAACGGTAGTTAAAAAACAACTAATAGAATATTTAGAAACTAATAAAATATTAATGCCACAACAGTCTGGTTTTAGGAAAAGGCACTCGTGTGAAACTGCACTAAACTTAGTATTAGCTCGCTGGAAAGAAGAATTGAGCAGAAATAAGTACATAGTTGCCGTCTTCTTAGACTTAAAGCGCGCATTTGAGACCATCGATCAAGAGTTACTTCAAAATAAATTGAGTAATATAGGGATACGGGGCGTTGAGCTAAAATGGTTTCAAAGTCTTATTACAAATCGTTACCAGAGAACACAGATTGGATCGTCGGTATCTGACAAAAGAAGTATAGTGGTTGGTCTACCTCAAGGCTCAGTGCTAGCACCTATATTATTTAATATATACATAAATGATATTGCCAACGGTATTAAATATTGTGATATTAATCTTTTCGCTGATGACACGTTAATCATGTTAAGTGGTGACCATATTACTGATATTGTTTCAAAACTACAAGATGACTTAAATAAAATATATAATTGGCTATGTTTAAACAAACTTAAAATAAATGTAAGTAAAACCAAATACATGGTCATATCCAGAAGAAATATTGATATGCATGAACTTCGTAGTTTAAACATAAACCAACAAAAAATAGAAAGGGTGCGTTCAATGATCATATTGACTATACCGTAAGCAAAATAGCAAAAAAAATGTACTTTATGCGGCGTACTTGCAAATTACTGAAAAGGAAATATAAAATAATGGTATATGGATCAATAATAAAACCTCTCCTCAATTATTGTCCGACAATTTTCTTCATAATGAATGATAGCCAAATTTATAAATTGCAGAAACAATAGAACCAAGCAATGAGATTCATTCTTCGAAAACGATATGACACGCCCATTAGAGACATGTTATCAGCCCTTGGTTGGTTAAGTGTGAAACAACAGCACTTTTATTATACGATGAAATTTGTTAAAAACATTATTGAAGATAATTTACCAGAATACCTAAAGATTAACTTAAAGTATGGCAGCAATGTACACAATAAAGATACACGTAAGAAAAATGACTTCAATTTACCCATGTTAAAAAGCGAATCTGATAAATGTTATTACAAGGGTCTTAAAAGTTATAATGAATTACCATATACTGTCAAGCAATGTAAAAACATCAATGAGTTTAAAAGAAAGTTGTTTGAATTTTGTAAATCTATCCCAATATAATGTAATGTATTACTTTATATCTGTTTTCCGTTTACTATTGTTCCGTAATTTCAACTTGTAATTGCCATGTATGAATGCCCTTCCAAATGATTTTATTAGGCTTAAGCAATGTAATATTAAATAACTAGGTTAAGTCTACATATATTGTAATGAAATAGGCTCAAGAGAGCGGTAATAAATGAATAATAATAATAAAAAGAGCAACAGCTTGTCTGCAAGCAACTACCATATGCTTACGAAACCGCGAATCTATCGGCTATTTATTGCCCACCGCGATTTTTAATTTCTGAAAATTACTTTAAAGATTTCTTTGGTAGCCTGGGTAATAGATTCCTGGCAGAAGGCGACTTCAACGCAAAGCATACGTACTGGGGACCACGCATTATTAACCCAAAAGGGTGGCAGTTATACAATACTATTATAAACAATAGACAAGAGGTCACATCTCCTGGTAAACCTACTTACTGGACCACCGATATAAAGAAGATACCAGACCTAATAGATTTCGTAATTACAAGAAACATAGACAGAATAACATAACAGCAGAAACTCTAGCTGAAATATCATCCGATCACTTACTATATTAATGAAACTATTAGTCTGTTCCAATAGCAGTCCGGTTTACAGGATTTAGTCAAGAACTTACAGGAAGTCGTTCCCATTGACATAAAACCTGTAAGTGGGTACACTTTTGAGAGAGTAACTGAGCAACTGTTCCTAGTCAGAAGTTACGCGATTTAGTCCGGAGGGTTTTTCCTGTAAGTTCATGAAAAGTGTCAAAGGATCAGCTGATTTACAAACAAAAAACAGAAAGCGACGAAAGCAAAGAACCTTATATTTATTAAAAATGGAAGTAAACAACGAAATATTTGAATATGTATAGATTTTAATAATTATTTAGTGATATTTCAGCCAAATCAGTGTTGTACCAATGACATGTAAACAAACCGACTGACGTTTTTACGGGAAATAGTGCTTGTTGCGTTCCCGTGCACTTCTGCATCTGTTCTGCTTTTACTCTCACTAGAGAGAGTAAAATTGTAGTTTGGCAGTTCCACAGGTTTTAGTCCGAAGTTCAAAGGAACAGAATATTTATGAACAACCCCAAAACATCGAGATTGA